CAAGTTACATGAGAAAGTCGGTTTACATCTACAGGCCTTAACTCGCCTTTGGGCCTTGGGCCTTCGTAAAGCGCCACCATCCTTACGTCTTCATAAGCTTCTGATCTTCTTGGAGTTAATCCGGCTACTCGTGGCCGGATTACGTCCAGTAGTAGTATCCCCAACATCCGCCGAACTTGCCGGCGCCGGATCCGTCCACCGAGCCCGCCTCGCCGCGACGCCCGCAGCGCTCAAGGCGACGAGGCAGAGCGCAGGTAGCAGTCGAAGCCGACCACGGCGCCGACTACGCCGTCACGCCACGCGACGAGGCCCCAGCAGCATGTGTCCCCCACCCGCACCGACTGTCGGGGGCACCAGGACCACTCGCAGGCCTCCGCCACCCGCGCTGAGTACTGGACGCACAACATGCACTCCTCCGCCGTGCAGTCCGGCGCGCACTCCTCCGCCGATGTGCTGGTTCCCGCCGTAGTAGCGAGCCCCCAGGTGGCCCTCGGAGTACTTGTTGGTGAGGTGGTTGCCGAGCGCGTCCAGCACGGCGCGGCAGATGAAGTTCTATGAGGTGATGAGCTCGATGCCACGCACCTGGCGCTCCCTCTCGCGCTCCATGAGGGCGTGCATGTCTGGGTCGGCCTCCGCGAGCGGTTGCTTCCCCCACGCGCGGACCGCACCGCGGCGCGCCTCCAGATCCACGCCTGGCGCTTTGTGGGGCGCAGGGCCACCGCGGACGAGGACGAGCATGAGGAGGCCTTGTTCTTGTTCCGCTTTCAGCAGAGGAAGAAGATGCCCTTCAGGGGCACGCGCCCGAAGCTGTCGCCCTCCATGCCTGCCGCCCACCGGTCCTTGTCAACCGTGTCGTAGCTGCACTAGTTCCCGGGGTCCTCGTCGCCACGGTGGTAGCGGCTCCTGGCGGCGGTGGCGGAGAAAGGGGTGTTGTTGCAGCTGAACTCGACCTCGCGGCGGTCGCGCGAGGGCTCGTGCACCGCGAGGGCCGGGTCGAGTGCATGGCACGAGAAGGACGACGACCCCGCCGAAGAAAGGCCGCCGAGGGCCTTGCCGGCTTTCTTGCAGCGGCGGAGGAGGCCGAGGTCCATGGCCAGCTTGCACCGGACGGTAGCAGGCCACGCGGCAGCATGCAGAGCACGGCGCGCACCACGCGCCACAGCCGCCTCGCTCTTTTGCTGGGCGGTCGCCGTCAGCACGACATCCATGCGAGCCATTTTCAGGCGCGGCAAGATCCTCAACAATGGCCAGCTGAAGCTCGTCCACGACCGCGGCGAGCCGGGCGCGTCCACGGTCGCCACGAGCTGGTGGTGGGCACGATGGGCAGTGGAAGCTCCGGTGCGCTCAAAGTGTTTCACGAAATGTGAAGCCCAACCTGATGACTGTTAAGTTTTGTTGTTAACGTCGGTAATCAAATGCATGTATGCAACCAAACACCGTGTGAAAATTGCATCTCGATGACAAGACCCCTAATGCAGGCAACCAATCAAGTGATCACCCACGTTTTTGGCCCTGTTTTTGCTTATCCTGGCCCTGCTCAGCCTGGCTCGTTTTTCCTCTCTGAGCCAGGCCCGGCAGCGGAAGCAACCAAACACGCCCTCAACCGCCCGAAGCAGATGAAGAAAAATCAACCAAGAACCATTTCGGCATTTTCTGGGATATTTGTCACTCGCCGTCCCGTTCACTCCTTCATGCGCGCGCTTCCCCACGCCGTCTCTTCACCCACTCTGCCTAGCCTAGCCTCTCATCATGCTAGCTAGCTTTGTGCTGGCCGATGTGCCCAGCCCAGTGATTCAAGGACGTGACAGTGTCCCGTGACTAAGAGCCCTGCACCACATACATCATGCATGGTATATGCTCAACATCAAGTAGTACTATAGTACAACCCAAAACTCGCACAGATTAGAAACAAAGCTTTGGTTAACGGAGGACATGGTTATCTAACACAGTAACTATTGACTCGGGATAACAATTTGTTGAAAAACATACCTTGATAACTTATGTATAATACTAAATAGCATGATAACATACGCACAACAAAACTGATAACTTACTCAGTCTAGACGTGATAACTTTTTGACTCAAGAAAAAATGGTGTTGACAAACATCCCTTATAGTTGATGTGTAAATAGCATGGTAATATACACTCAACATAGCTGATAACTCATATAAAAACACCGCGATAATTTTTTGCCCTGAAAGAAAAAAGTTGATGAAAAACATACCCCAGTAACTTATGTGTAAATAACATGGTAATATACACACAACAGAGCTGATAACTCACTACAAACCCCACGGTAACTTTTGACCCGGTATAAAAGTTTGTTGAAAACATACCCTCATAACTTGTGTGTAAATAACATGGTAATATACATACAACAGAGCTGATAACTTACTTCATCCAGATGTGGTAACTTTTTGACCATGGTAACTTTTTGACCAGGGGAAATGTTCTTAAAAAATATCTCACAATAGCTCATGTGTAAACAACATGATAATACACACACATGAGAGCTGATAACTCATATACAAATATCGCGGTAATTTTTTGACCGAGGAAATGAAAATTGTTGGAAAACATACTCCGATAACTTTTGTGCAACGTGATAATATACACAACAAAGCTTATAACTCGCGGCAAACATCATAATCACTTTCTGACCCTGAGATAAAAGGGTGTTGAAAACATACCCTGAAAACTTTTGTGTAAATGACACAATAACTTATGTATGACATACATGATAACTTACGTAGCCCAGATGTGGTAACATTTGGTCCGAAAAAAAGTCATTAGAGCATATCAACATGAGATTTAGTTCTGAAGATCTGGTCGAGACGATTTTTTTTTTTGTGAAGACGTTTTTTCAATTGGGACGACGGTTTAAGCTACAAAACATTTTAAAGTTTGAAAAAAGAAAGAATCTAGGATGACCTCAGCTTTTCGTCATTTAGTGCATATATGCATGTAATTAGAGAGAGAAGTGCACGTGAAAAAAAATTGTCATTCTAATACATGCATGTATATAATTAGAGTGAAGTAGGGATTATTCTTGCCTATTGCTAAAATCCGAACGTTTGGTACTTATAAAGGTCCAAAAAAACAGCTGAAGAAGTTGGCTGCGTTGTCGTCAGGGGTCCAAATTAGGCGCGAGAAGAGGGTACAATGGTGGAGCCGATGAATAGAGCTTCATAGCAGGAGCTCGCGGAGTAAGAGCAACTTCAACCGGCCGACCCAGACGGACGCGCGTTTTGTCCGCTTTTTGGATCGGCCGTGCGAATGTCAGTGTCTATTTTTTTGGATCGGCAGGTGCGCCCAACGGGGGTGGATGCATTTTGTGCATTTCGTCGAACATGTAGCAGTCAGGGGAGCTCGCGGCGAGAAGTGACGCCGATGCATGTTAACCGCCCAGAGAGAGGCGACACCAAGGAGGCCAGCTGGCTGGCATAACGAAGGCTGCCCTTGGAGGCTGCCTTGTGTCCCGCGGCGTGGTTGGTAGTCTGGAGCGGGGTGGGCGGGAGGGTGGAAGAAGAGAGTGGAAAAGGAGAACAGAGATGGGATGGGATGGTGGGCATGGATGGCAGATGGTTCACATGGTGCATGCAACGGACAAAGGCGGACAAAGAGGACACAAAAAACTTTTGCTTTGTGTCTGTCTTGGATTCAAATCCATCCCAAATTTGCACTGGAATTGGGTCCGAGCGGATACGGAACGAACAGAAAATGCAAATGAGTTTGTGCATTGGGCAAAGATTTCTGTCCGCATGGATCCAAACGCACAGGGGCGAACGAAATGTGTTCGTGCGTTGGAGTTGCTCAAACTTTCGTTGGCCAATCCAATGCCAGGTAATTTGTCTGGAATTTGAGTGAGGTTGATGCACTGGGGGTGACGCCAGATGTCGACATAATTTCACCATGGCCATCGGCCCAGGCCACCGTAAATGTCACCGATCCAAGCGCGGTTGGCGAATAGTTTTTCTGAATCGACAGACATTTTTTCAATTTGTGGAATAATTTTTGAAATTCATGAATATTTTTGATTCTAATAAAAACATTATTTCAAATTTATGACATTTTTTGGAATCGATGAACTTCTTTTGAAATTTGGGAGCAATTGTGAAAATTCGTAAACATATTTTGAATTTATGAAAAAAAGTCATGAACATATTTTGAATTAGTGAAAAACATTCAAATTCCGCACATGGGCTGGCCCAAAAACGGGTGCGTAGGGAGCTGGGGTGCTCGATTCCTCTTTATCTGGTGCACAGGTCACCAAGTACGTAGGAGGTCCATTTAAGTTAGGGTTTTTCATTCCTCGCATGGTGTCACTCAACGAACGGTGATGCTTCATCTTCTAGCTAGTCGGGAAAATTGTGGACCACCTTGCTCCTGAAGTAGCGGAGCGCATTACTATCGTGAGGATGCGCCTCCTCCTCCGTGGTGTTGAGGGTGCCGAGCCACACTCACGCACCCGTGCAAGGGCGCGCAGATCCCCGCCGCGTAGTGGCCCGAGGGCCGGTGTTGCACGCTGTCATACAACATGGAGGAGCTTGGACATATGCCAGTGTCGAAGAGGAGTTGGAGGAGAACCGATAGTGACACAAGAGAGTAGAAGGGGGGGCATATGTTGGTGTCGGACATAGAGTCGGAGAGGCTAAAAAATGAGAAAGGGAGTTTGAGAGATTGAAATGCCTGAAAAGATATTTTTAAAATGAAATAAAAGTTCTAAGTCGTAACAAGGAGTTGTGAATTTTAAAAACTCGTAGAGAATCGAAAGTGATAGGATCCCTTAGACTTTGACTTTGAAAAGCGGAAACAAAACAAAACGAGCATCTTGTCTCCCAAGCAAGAGAGAAGATCATTCACGCATACTCTATCTTACGCACGAGCGCTATTTAAAGGGACAGCATTCACGCAGCCGGCCGGTCAAGTCAAACCAAACGCCCAACTCCAACTCCAACCCAATCCTCACCCAAATCCAAACTCCCAAGTCCCAACAACCATGGCCGCAGCCGGCGACGACGACCTCCAGCTCCAGCACGCCGCCGTGCCGATCCCGTGCGTGACCCTGAACACGGGCCACGCCATGCCGGTGCTGGGCTTCGGCACCGGCTCCTCGCGCGCGCCCGCCGACCTGCCGGACACCATCGTTCACGCCGTCCGCCTCGGCTACCGCCACCTCGACACGGCCGCCATGTACGGCACCGAGCCGGCCGTGGGCGTTGCCGTTGCCGAGGCCGTCCGCTCAGGCGCCGGCGGGATCTCCTCGCGCGAGGACCTCTTCGTCACCTCCAAGCTCGGGATCCCCGACGCGCGCCCGGGCCGCGTCGTGCCGGCGCTGCGCGAGTCCCTGGGCCGCCTCGGCGTCGACTACCTGGACCTCTTCCTCGTCCACTGGCCCGTCGCCGGCGACAACCCCGCGGACAAGAGCACGCACACGGAATTCGACATGGAGGGCGTGTGGCGCGGCATGGAGGAGTGCCACCGCCTGGGCCTGGCGCGCTCCGTCGGCGTCAGCAACTTCTCGGCCGCCAAGATGGAGCGGCTGCTGGCGCTCGCCGCGGTGGCGCCGGCCGTGAACCAGGTGGAGCTGAACGTGGGGTGGAGGCAGGAGAAGGTGCGGGAGGTGTGCGCGAGGCACGGCGTGGTCGTGGCCGCCTACTCGCCGCTGGGCGCGTACGGCGCCTCCTGGGGCTCGGACGCCGTCATGCACAGCGGCGTCATGCACCACGTCGCCGCCGCCAAAGCCAAGACCGTGGCCCAGGTAGTAATCTCTTTTCTTTTCTTTTCTTTTTTGCTAAATAAAATCACAGATAAATATAGAAATAAATTTCTCATATCATCACACTAATTAGTTTCTGAAATGAAATCAGCTTTTGCTGTCAGACTGTTCGAGTTGATCCTATATAGCACGCATCAGAAAGATGTGCATGCATGCATGCATGCATTAGCATTAGGGATGTATGTCTAACTCACAAGTTCCATATGAGAATCAACATAACCACCAACAAATTAAAGACATGAAGCATGCATTTCATATGTCTCAACATAAATCATTCACAACCAAAACAGAGGATTATTATGAATCCAAGTCCAGCAAAAATTACTACCAATATACTCCCTCCCTCCGGTCCTTTTTAGTACTTCGCATATTAGATTTTCGCCAAGTCAAAGTTTGTAAAGTTTGACCAAATTTATATTAAAAAAATATCAATATGTACAATACCAAATGTATAGTGTATGAAACTACATTTCATAATGAATCTAAAAATAATGATTTAGCATTATGAATGTTAATATATTTTTCTAAAAGTTTGGTCAAAATAGAGATAGTTTGACTTCAAACAAAACTTATATGCAGACTAAAAATGACCGGAGGGAGTACTAGTAATATTTGTAGTAAAAGAAGCTTTATATAGTACTACCAATGAAACTCAAATTCTTATGTATGTTTTCTTAGTTTGGAATTGTACAAAGAGAGAGAGAGAGACAGACAGACAGACAGAAATAATCGTTATCAATGAAGACGTCTTGTCGATCATGATGACGATGATGTGTATGTGCGTACAGGTGGCGTTGAGGTGGGTGTACGAGCAGGGCGTGTGCTTTGTGGCCAGGAGCTTCAACAAGGAGAGGCTCAAGCACAACATGGACATCTTTGTTGATTGGGAGCTGAGCGATGAGGACAAAGCGATGATCGCCACGATACCGCAAAAAAGGGCGTGCCAGGGGGACTACTTTGTGTCGCCTGACGGACCTTACAAATCACTCGAGGAGCTGTGGGACGGCGAGATATGAATGAATGATCACTCCACTCCAATATGTCTACACCCTCTGTACCAAAATACTTGTAATTGGGCAAAAACTAGTACGAGTTTCCTCAACAACAAGTATTCTGGTACAAAGGAAGTAGTATCTATTTTGCGATTAGTGATCAAGCATTGCCTCGCTTGTCCACTTCTTAGGAGCTGGGGGATGTTGAGATATGATAATATATGTATCTATTTGTGATTACTATTCAAATATTGCAATACCATTTTAATGAACGGTCGTCGTCCTGTCAAAACAACTTTTTACGAACTTCAAAAAAAAAAACCTTTTACGTATGTACTAGTAGTAGTATTAAACTTTTCATAGCCGGGCGGGTCTTGGTGATGTTTGTCTCTTCTTTCTGTTTTTTCACGCGTTAACATTATGTGTGATCCTTTTTTTTAGCCTTTTTTTTCAGAACAACCTCGTCGTGTTATATTAATGTGTTCTATTTTGTGTGCGTTAATTAAAACAGAGAGAGAGAGACCCTTGAAATAAACAGCAACATTAAAAAAGATCCCATTTACGAACAAAACCCGTGGTGGACCAAACTGTATGTAATCTCGCTGCAATGCTAGACTAGAGATTGGCAATCGTGTCAAGCACATCAATCTCGTACGGTGACCTTTTTTTTATTTTTAACATATATGTATATGCTATTTGAGAGCAATGCGGACTACATACGAAACAAAATAAGTGAATCTACATTCTAAAATATGTCTACATATATCCGTACATAGCAGTGGCGGAGCTAGGCAGGAATCTCAGAAAGTCAAAACATGAACAACTAAGAGGGCTATCTAATCCTCGAATAGTAAATTTTCTTCATTGTTTTGGCTAATCTCATACTTGCAGTAATCTCCGCCAGTGGTATGTAGTTCATATTAGATTCTCTAGAAACACTTATATTAGATACGTAGGGAGTATAAACTGTCGTGATGGAGTATTTTCTTCATGTATGGTCTGGTCATCAAGGTCGTGTGCTTTGTGTTTGTTGATCATTTGTACAGCATGTATCTGAGCTGACGTCCAAGTCCAACCACGGTGATGTACGTACATCTACCACGCTGCCTGCGGGTCAGCTCCAATCCCATACTCCTTTCTACAGCCACCTCTTGTTTTCTCGGTGCCTGTTGGTGAAAATCCGCACCTCTGGACAACTCTTTGCAAACACTACTATTTCAAAATGTTTGTGACCCATCAATCAATCGTTTTCGTTTTGGGCATCTCTCAATTTTTTCACCCATTTGGTTACAGCCAATTCAGGAAAAAAAAAGTTTCCTCATTTGCTTCCTTACTCTGCACTCGTTTTGGATGCGATCCGCATCAGCTGCTAATCCGGCAATTCTATACTATTCGCCAAACCACTACTTTCATCAATTACATAGAGAAATTTGAGGTAATGATCATTTCACGCCTTACTCCGATTCTATTCACCCATATTTCTTCCTTGCTCGTTTTGTGGACGGTTTGCGCCGGGACATTCGTACGGTGGTGCTGGTGCAACACAACAGCCATCGGACATGGACACAACATGCTCTCTCGTGTTGCTTCAAGAGGAGGTCGTTCACGGGGTGTTCGGCGGCACACATCAATCCTCGTCGTCACGCCCTCCAGCCGCACCAACATGAGGACTGCCGCTATCTCCACCTTTGCTTTGGCTCACGGCATCGGCCGTCACCGTTTTTGCCCATCCGAAAGCGCCGGCGAAAGTTGTTCACAAATAGGGCATCGGGGCAAAAGTACAGTCATCCATCAACGTCAAAATGCCCCCGTGTGTCCTGTTCTAGTTCAACACTCGATGACCCTTGGTCGATTCCTTGAAATTGAGAACATGCTCTTCTGCATGCTTCGTGTCTGCAAGGACTCCTGCATCATCATATCGCCTTTCATCCGCATACTATATCCTCCTCATCAGATGAGGAGTGTTTGTATCCAGTGCTTCAAAGAAGAAGGAAAAATTGTCAAAATTGTAGCACCAGCATTTCACCGAACACTTGCCATGCGTGATCACCCCCACGGATGGCATTCGCGAGGGTTGATGGCAGTGGCATACCCAGGAAAAAAATGAAGGGTGTGCACACTTTAAAAAAAATTCCTCACCTAATCCATGTGTCAGACAAAATATGGCAAAATAATAACATGAGTAGCTTAATGCAAATCTCACAACAATTTAGTTCACAAAATATATCTCAAATGTGCTCAATTACAATACGAGTAGTCTTATATGAAAAAAGAACAAGTAGAAAATTACATCACTAGGTAACTCTATGTTTTTGCACTGCCATGAAAGCATCAACTATGGCATCTTCGCTTACTTCCATGAACACATCTCGTTCAATAAATATCACCAAGCAATCATTCAAGCGATTATCACTCATAGTAGTCCTCAACTTATTTTTCACTAGATTCATTGCTGAAAACACTCTTTCAACACTCGCCGTTGCCACCGGTAAAATCAATATCAATTTGATGAGTAAGTAGACCAAATCATAAAGAACATGCTTCTTTGTTGCAACATGCTCCATCTTCAATATCAACTTCAATCTCTGCATAATGGACTAGAGGTTGAGGAAGGACTGCTTCATCTTCAATATTTGACACTATATCTTCATATTCAGGCTACTCTTCGGCTGCAACCTTCCTTCTTTTAGCAGCCTCATAATTCTGAAAAAAGGACTTAATGTTACCATTCCTCTTCATCTTCGGTTGTACAATTACAACAAAAAGAACAACACAAATAAGCATCATCAATGGTTATGTTTACAGTTTACTAGCTGAAAACTGGACAGGTTCAACGAGTTTTAAATGGTCTTTTTGAATGTTTAAGAACATCAACAAACAGTGCAGCAAACATTACTACATACTGGACAGTGCAGTTTGTTCGTTATATAGGCAGTGACGAGACATTTCTGCATTTCAGTATTGGGCAAAAAAGAACATGAGGCAGTACCAGTACAGTATCTCACCTGAATCGAATCAAGCAAAGGCCGAGCGGTGGAGGACCGGAGGAGAGGATACGAGGGGTCGAGGGCGTCGGCCGTCGGGACGGGAGGCGCGGGCGGAAAGAGCTCCTCCGGGGCGGCGGCGGCCCTCTGGTCCGGGTCGACGGGTCGGCGGCTCGCGGGTCGCGGCGCTTGCTGCTTGCTAGCTGTTCTCGCCAAACGGAAGGAGCTCCGGTGGCCGGCGCTGCTTCGATTTCGAAGGGGAACAGCAACGGCCGAGTGGGTGAGGCGGTGAGCGCCGAGCGGCGGCGCGTCCTGGTTGGGCAGCGGCCGAGCGCGAGGGGATTAGGCCATTAGATCGTGCCGCTCTGCCTATCTCTCTCGCTCGCTCGCTCGCTCTGTCCGAGTCGCTCACGTGATGGCAGTTGGGCCTGGCTGGCTGGCTTAGTTAAAATGGGCTAAAATATTATATGGTATAAATTTTTCTCACAAACTCTGGGTGTGCCACGGCACACCATGCACACACGCTAGGTCCGCCACTGGTTGATGGTACCCGTGCGGTAGACAGACGAGAGGTGTGAAATGGTGGAGTAGGCAAAGCGGGCAGGCGGTGGAGGAAGTGGATGCAAAGAAAGAGGGAACGGACGGAGATGGGGGGTGTGGTTCTGGGTGGACCTGTGGCGTCGAAGTCGTACGTTGCTTGATCCGGACTCCCGCGAAGCCCCCTACTTTGCTTCCGGTTTGTGAGACTTGATATAACCAGACGTGTCCGCGGGCAGATTCGGGGTGGCTTTGGATGGCAAATTAAAGTGTGTCCTAACCGCTTAATCCGACCTGTTGATTGCGGGCAATTTGGGGGTCCACTTTGGATTGGAGATGCCCTGACCTGTTGGTAGGAATCCTTTGAAATTGTGTAAAAAAAAGGAGAGAAGAATACATAAAAAGACATTGATTGGTTTTTAAAGCAAATGGGCTTGGAATTGGTAGAAAACCAAGTTTGAGCAACTAGGCAGAGGTTAGGGCTTCTTTGATTCAAAGGAATTTTATAGAATTTCTGGAGGATTGAAATCCTTAGAATTTTTTTCTATGTTGGTCCTTTGATTCATAGGATTGGATTCCATAGGAATTTTTCCTATGGAATCTTTTGTACTACATTTCATAGGAAATTTAACATCCACTCCAACCTTTTTTTACAATTCTTTTGTTTTTCCCGTGGCATCAAACAATCATTGCTAATTCTATAGGATTCAAATGAGCATGCCACTCCAACCCTACACTTTTCCTGTTCCTGCGCTTTCAAAATCCTATGAATGAGGCCCTTAGTAGTACTCGTATCCCACTTTATCATCATGTTTTTTTTCTTCTCTTTATTTGTTATCCTGCACGCACACTGCCCGAGGCGCACGCATGCTCCTGCTCCACCGTGCGCCACAATCACCCATGTCTCTTTTTATATAGGAGCAGATAGAATCATGCAATGGTGTCTCTGTTGGTCCAGTGCGCCCGGTCCACCCATCTTGAACAGCAATGGTCGCTGCACAGCACGGTGGGTCAATGGATGGATGGGCCTATCCAGGTGCATGCATCATATTCATACTTCCTTCATTCTAAAATATAGTATTTTCTCTATTCCCATGCTTTAACTTTCTAAAATTCAATTTTAACCATAAATTTAACCAACGAGACCGACTGCGACAAAAGCAAAAATTATGCCGGTCGTCAAAGTTGCACTATATTTTGAAATGAAGGGAGTACTACACTTGCTCTTGGGTCCGCATGCAGAGCAGGCACAAGTACATGACATGTGGCCCATGGTACACCAGGTTCATTCATTCATTGAGCAGCCAAGGCACGGAATTCCAGGACAGCACACCATCCCATCTTTTGAGGGGAGGGGTGGCCAAAGAAAAAGAGAGCTGCTTACTATACTACTACTGGTAGTAGATCTAGATTAAAAAAGAAAAAAAAATAGTAACACGTCCAGATCTCCTTGCAGACACCAAAGATATCTTCTTCTTCTTCTTCTTCTTCTTCTTCTTCTTC